AAGAACAAATAATCATTGACACAGAGATGCTTTGCAAAACGGACGATAAGATTATCGTAGATCTTATGTCTTACAACACATCAGAGTATTGTCATATCACGGCAACCCTGTTCAAAACGTAACGAGCACACAACACAAATGGTCACGTGTAGCCACTTCAAATAATTGTCTTCCGACAACGGTTTCTAGTTACAGCCATTGGACAATAACAATCATAACATTAATTCTCAATAACATTAATTCTCATAACATTAATTCTCAATCCACTGCTGGGTGAAAGAGTCTCCATGGTGATAGTATAGGGCAGGGGCCGGCAACCAAAACAACATAAGAGCCATTCCTTTCTAATTCTGAAAAAAAAACCCATGTGAATACGAAAAGTGAGTACGAAACGGTGGGTCCGAAATAAATAACGTCAAGAAGCAGTCCATAAAGAGCCGCATGCAGATACGGAGGTGGCAGGTTGCAGGGACTGCAGAGTGTTTGGCAGTCAATGATCTCACAGACACCTGTGCACCATCCACGATCAGAATCAGAATCTTTATTTATGCCGGATAAATCCGATGAGCTATGAAGCTCTTTTTCACAAGAAAACCCTTCCTTCACACATCCATTGTTCTCTGTCAGCCACCACCACACGTGACTGCAATAAGTAAATCGCACTAAAGTGTATATTTGTTGCAGGTGAACAATGGTTAGTGGACTGCGCTTTAAACCTGGCGGCCTGCGTTCAAAACCCGGTCACGGCTCAAGTCAGTGTTGAGTGATATCTGAATCTGGCCTCGGCACCGCATGTACCAATCCGCACTGTCGAGCGTGGTGAAGCAGGGTTAAACAACCCCCATGACTGACAAAATTGGGGGAGGGCTTCATCCAGCAGTAGGTTGATCAGGGACTGTAAGCTATTATTAATTATTATTATTTGTAGCGAGTACACAAGCCTTTCAGAATCAGAATCTGTAATTATCCTGGAGGAATCCGATGGGATGTAAGAGGCCTGGCCAGCAAATTACACCAAACAATACAGAAAGCCATATGAGTGCTAAATAATACATTGATGCACGGACTTTACAAACATTCATGAAGGTGATGCAAAACTGGATGCGTCTGAATTACCAATTGTCAACGACTTTGCCAAATTCATCAAGGTCAAGAGGTCATCACAGTCACCACACCTCGCCATTGCTTCCTCATGCCTCCAATGTCTGCTCTTACAGCCTCATCACGACAACCATCGAGGTTTAGGGTTTTCTCTCGGTCACCAACCTGAGTGGCACTCCAATGCATGTATTGGCAACTGGCCATCCTCCATCGCGCACACATAAGCCATCCATTGCAATCTCTCTCTCTCTTTTATCCTGATTATAACCGAACTGCTTTTTTTTGGTCATATTCTCACCGGCTCTTTATCGGCCCTCGTGTCACACTCCAAAAACAGACGTGCCCCACGTATAATGAGGGCTTTATACGTTTAAGTGCTAGCACGAGACGTCAAACAGCTTGGAACTTTAGCATGGCTCTACCCTACGAATTAAACCAATACAATTCTCAAATGTTTTGTTGTCGATTTTCAAAGATATAACAAAATTTAAGCTTTCTAGCCCCTCGAGGAAATAATTGGAAATTAGATGAGTCATGTACACGTCTATGCTCGGGTTACATATGCAATACACACCTTCAATGGACACGTGCACATCAGGCGTGTTTATACATAATTAAATAGAGAATGAATAGTGTCTAGCTGTGATATCTCGGCAACTTAAGTTTCCCCGGGTTATTCTCGTTTCTTGAAAGAATGTACTTGTGTTACTAAGAAACAGTTTCTGGCCGAGAGAAACCTATTCACTTCGTCAAAGACAACATCAAGTTGGTTAGAGAGAGTCGCGCGTTATCTACAGCAAAGACGCCAGCTTCCTTGTCTGGTTATCCTGCTGTTGGAATCAAAATACGAAATGTCGCGCCAATCAACAAGTGCATCCAACCAGTATTTCCAGTCAGGGCAATTGAAAAAGTGTTTAGAAAAACCGACCCCAACAGGTTTTAACAACCGAGATGAAAGCCACCCAAAGGGTATACGCGTTCCCGAGTGAACACAACGGTAAAGGAAACGTGTTCACAACGAGCACTGTGCACACACAAAGACAAAGCCCCCCCCCCAACCCCGTATAGCCTTAACAGGCTATAGGGGCAAGTGCTGTTAGCGAGCAGCACCTATAGCGGCCGGCACGGCACACGAGGGGGTGGGTGGCCAACAACCATCGCCCGGCCGCCTTTGTCTCCCCAGTGGCGATGTTTACACATCCGCACCAGGTATTCATTTGAGGCCGAGTCGACCTAGGGGAGGCCCAGGACCGGTTCAGATTATGGATCACCGGTGTTGGCCGTGAGCGGGAATCGAACCCGGGTCGCCAGGTTCATCGCGCTCACTTGCTCAATCATTTCGGGAAGAGTGTGTGCGGTGAAGAGAAGCGAACGGAGAGTCCTCATGGAAATGGAAAGTTCTGCTCGCATAAATCGTGCCCGTCAGCTTGTTTCGGTCTGCCGTGAGCGCGCGCACCTTTTACAGAACCCCAGAGCGCTTTCTTCACACACATCCCCCGCGCGTTCACATCCAGCTTTGTGAAGAAGAAAAGGGAGGGAGAGAGAGAGAAAAAAACCACCATGTTGTGGTTGCATGCAGGTTGTTGTTTGCTCGTTTCAATGCTGAAGAGGAGAGGCAGATAAGACGCACGTCCTCGTGTTCGCAAGCAGACGGGAATGCAGCGGAAGCTGCCGAGTATAACAATTGATAAGTAAATATTGCAGTCAAGCGATCGGGCGCAGCGCAGCAGCTTACTGAGAACGCCACTGCTAGCGGAAAGACCTCTTCCTCCACTCGAGGGAGCTACAGAGTGCCCCTCTAGATGACATTGGCCTACTCTGCCACGCTGGCCAGGTATTTTGCAAGTGGGAGTTACCCACACACTTTACCCCACGATACACGCCGACCGTGCTGGTCACCGATTTGTACTGTTGGAGAGGCGTGGTGGGGGGAGGCGCGGTGCAGGAGGTGTATGTAACATGCGCGAACCATCATCGTCCCAGCTGGTGAACTGGGAGATTCAACCGGTGACCAACTGTATTGCAAGTCCAGTGTGCCAAGTGTTACAACACGAGAGCATCCGTACTATTACCACAGAATTATTATGGTATTTCTACACCGGGGAATTACGCTTCCTCGCGTAGCCGGAATCTTGCGCAAAGATGACTCTTGTTATGGGAATTGCAGCCCTGTATGGCCAGGCCTCTTACAACCCTTTAATGAACCCTGATTAGCAAGCACGGTTGGCTACGTACGGAGAGAAATAAGTTCAACACCATACGAAACATAATTATCTTACTACAACAAAACATCTCTTTGGTTTTATACTGGTATTTTGTACAGATTTGCATTATCCATTATCATGTAGTTGTAGAGTTCTTTGCAGCCTATAACAGCCTTCATAGTGCTCATCCATCCCAGGACTATATATGCTCAACCCTGTTTCGTTTCTGAGATCAGTTGCCTTCCAAGTGATTTGGTTATAGACACAAAATAAACTACAGTCATTTCGTTCAATATAATAGGAACTCAACGATTCCGTTTTTTGTGTAATTCAATTTTGCACAGTTTCAGAATAGTTTTGGCCTGGTGGCTCATTTTTTGGTTGGTTCGGGGTTGACGGAGCCCATCATCCTTCCGTGGTCGATAAGGTAGGTCACCACTTTGCGGCGGAACGCGAAACCCTCGATGGAGAGACTCGCCCGCGCCATAAGAGCGTGACATTTCCACGACTGCCTCAGGGCTGTAAACGAGAGATAAGCACTGCCTTAACGCTCATTTGAGCAGGAAGTCACTTTGACTTAACATTTCTGAACTTACTCCATAAAATCAATCATGTTATTGCTTTATGGAGTAGAGTCTACGTTCGTACAATTGAAAGCTAGGCATCGGGGCACTTCCGCAGATTTCTAGCGTCTGTGCGGATAGCCTGAGATAAAACCTTCCCTGTAAAATCCTGGCTGACTGGATGAATGCTGCCTATTGTGTACAAGACCGGCTCCCCTGTTAGGCTGAAAAGACACACTTGCGATTCTGTTCCCTTTTTGCACCGTCCTTTGTCATCCAAAGGGGCTACTCAACCATTATTCTTTGTTGAAACATGATATTTTTTTTTAAATTTGCTGCTATAAAAAGGGCATTTAAATGATGCTAAGAGAGAAAAAAACAAGTTAAGTAATATGTTGGCTGATGGAGCCGTGTTAAGAAACAAACTGTTCGGCATTATATTTTTTTTGGAAGCAACAATTGAATTCCTACTACAGTATTTACTGTAAATGCTAATTTCTCAAATCGGAAATTATGGTCCATTTAATTGATACATGAAATAATAAACAGATCATATTCTTGGGTCTTTCGGTAAAATCACGTAGATAGGTTCAAAGAAAATAAAAAAAATAACAAAAAACTACGAAGTTTCGATCGCAACACAAGCAATCGTCATCAGGAGCTATTTTTTTCTTCTGATGAAGATTGCTTGTGTTGCAATCGTAACGTAGTTTTTCGTTATTTTCTTTGAACCTATCAACGTGACTTTACCGAATGACCCAAGGATATGAATTCCTGCAGTTACGAAAGCTTTAAGTCCAAGAATAAACAGAACAATTATCATAAAAATACTCGTTAGCCATCTGTAAAAACGGCAGGTTGGATGTGGCCTATTAAACCCTGGTACAGCATAATTATCAATAGGCATTAGACGATTGAATGTGTCCAGACAACAATGTTAAATTAGTACAGCTTATTCCCCATAAGTTTCTACGATGAATGCACTTTCTTTACCCAGGAAAATGTCACCGATTCTCAATACTTTTTCAGGAAAATCCTCCCTGCATTGAGATATTGAACTCATCATTGCGCTGCGATTAAAACGGTACATGTGATAATTACATTAACTACAAAAATACAACAATAACAAACATTACAATGGTGCAACACGTATCAATAACTTTAATAATTTAACAGCAGTCAAGATGATGGATCAGAGGCAAAGGTACTGTATTTAAAAATGTAGCTGTCTGTTACACTCTCGTGTGTGTTTAAACCATTAGTCATGTATTTTGAAGAACGTCAGCATGCAATACTATATTGGTTAAATTAAAAACACATTTTCTCAAAAACTACCCTATACTTACACACGTTTGCTCCAAACTACCCTACACTTACAAACACAAAACATTAGGACACTTGTTAACGTTAGCATTGGTGCATACGTTTTCACAGTCCTGCTGCACAGATCTATGATGTGTTGTTTTCGAGTTGCCCCACATTATTTGGCATGATCCCTGACGTTTCACTCCACCACGTGCTGGCAGCTTTTTCAAGAAATTAATATTCAGTGTCGCTCCACATCGGACAAACATGCCGGACAACATGCCGTACAACTGGGAAACACATCTTGAGAGTTAAACGAGAACATCGGGTGATTTTGTGTTGTTGTTGTTGCTTTGATACTGCGTTGAGGACACTGATTGTGGACACAATGATCCGAAACAATATTTATATATTTGAATGCATATTTCTCCAACTGTGAAATGATGTGATCCATATAATCACACTTAAGTGCACATGACGTAACAAAACAACTTCGTTTTTTCCCGATCATATAAGGCACTTTTAACACTTAATCGTAAATTACATTAAACAAAAGCTAAAACAAGCCCTTTAAACCACTGACATTTAAAATCAACTTTTGTATTTGTTATATCATTGAACAATTAATTACGAGTAAAAATTATATATTTATATCGACAATTCAATGGGCAATCAACCATATTCTACAACTTATAAGATGCTCTGGAAAGTAAGACACACAACATATTTGTGGAAAATTCTAAATGAAGTAAAAAAATCGTCACACAAACTCCTACCAAATAATAAGACGCACAACCCCCCTCCCCCCCCCATTATAATCCAGAGAATACAATAAGTTATAATATCTTGCATCAGGTTCCATATAATTCAGTTTGTTCTTTAAATGAACACTACCATTACCATATAGTGTCTATGTGTTGTATAAGTATTATAGTCATATTTAAATGTTGGTTGTTAAACCTTGTATCCAACAAATGCCCACGCCTTGGCTTATTGTCACTGCCATTCAGTACCTTGGCTTACGCGAATAGTAAATAGTGTTTTGCATTGAACTTCGCATTAACCGTCAAGAAATACAAGCCCATTCCAAAGCATAATTCACTGATTATTTACAAGGCACTCATTTTTACAAGGCAGTTCAGAGTTACATGAAGCTCTTAAAAACAAGTCAATTAAGCCAGTGCACTCTAAGAATTTAGCATTGATTTGTACAAATCCTGGCCACCTGTTCATAACAAGTAATTAATCATCTCGCCATTTAGTCTTTATGACCAGAAACATTTAGAAAAAGGGTTAGCATTCCTTGTAACAGTCAATAACAAATAAATAGTGGTGAGGATGCAAAATACTGTAGTGTATTTAGTCAACAGCATGGGATAATTTCTGCATGCAAATTGGGGGCCATGTACTGTACTCTGGCAAAAAAAAACAATATTTATTACGTCTGCCAGGATATTTTATTTTACATCATATTTAAGGCACAGTGCTAATCGCTATATCAATGACTCCGTTTGGCAGGTGGGCAAGGTCATACAGAAGCACACATTTTGGCCTAGGGTAATAATCATGCAAATTGTATTTTAATGACTGACTATAAAGTACAATTTACTGCGTAACCAAGACAACCATATTTCAACGTTATTCATAGTTGCATACCTACTTGTGACATTCATTCATGAAATAACGAAACGTGTTTTTTTTTCCACGCAGAATGCTCTGTACAATATTGCTCACGTTCGTCCATGCAGAGTCACGCTCGTAGAACATTCACACACATGAACATACTCTCGGAGCTACTCTTGTCACACGTAACACTACAAGGATGGGGGACAATCACGAGTGGAACCATCGATGTTTTCGTCACTGTCTAATCTCATGACCTTGCACCGCGACTCGAACTCCTCCTACGTCGCTGCGCCGCAACACAGCGTGTAAATTCGTTTAGGAAACAAAAAGACGAGGAGAGGATCACACAACAGGAGGAAAAATGTGGCCAGTTGGTCCCTGTGGTAGGAAAGGAACTTTGAGGGTGTGGGGTGGGGGGGGCTTCTTAACAGCTGTGCTGTTGGCTGAATGGTATGTGGGCGCTTGAGGGGGACGGCACAAGTGCCAGTGGCTCGGGCGACACTTGCACGTGGACCGGCCGCAGCTGTGGGCCTCCCTCGCCGCTCAGCCCTCTCAGCAACGCCAGGATGGTGTCCAGCTTCTGATCCATGCGTACGACCTGCAGCGAGAGGGGGGGGCGGACGGCAACCGCGGACAAAGTAAGCTCAAGCGGGTAAAGCCACCGGCGGAGCTCGCGAGCCAAGCCACTCTTTTTTCATCTCCTCTCCATCCCTTAAAAACTGAAGCTTTTATCAGTTGGCTGGGAGCTGGAGCAGATGCCAGCGATGAAAGGGAGCACTCCCTTTGCATTAAGCCTTTTCTTGCTTAGCTAGCCCATTTCTAGGAGACCCCTGCTCAATGCTTCGTTGAAAGTCAAGATCAAAATGTGTATTTCTTTTTTTTTTACTCGGATTAATATTTTGAGACCACTTTGAATTTACATGACTATGCAACATTGTTATTTCCTCGCTGGTAGTTTCATCGCTACATGCGCACATTTCAACTAGTCACAACTTTAATTGGCGTGAACATATATTTAACAATGAGATAGCACTGTTTCCGCTTCAAGTATTTCCTGTTTTCTCTCAGTGCGAGTGAAAAAGGAGCAAATGCAACAACATCAATAACACTGAGGTTTGCACATATACTCATATATTTCATACGAAAACAATTATGCATTGAGGCAATACTGTATTTTAACATGACGTACATGTTTTCCAACTTCTGTGAAAATAATGGAACGAGTAGACCTTGGCAAGAATTTAACTCAAATCTCTATGACCAGGAGTTCCTGCTTTAGAAAATGAGGCTGCATCCCAGTCTGTATTGTTACAATCCGAGTACATTTGTATTATTAATTACCCAATGCAAAATAATACTCTCAAACAAATAAAGATAGGGTATTTTTTTTGTTTTTAACCTCTAGTCTTTTATCACATTCTTTAATTAAATATTTAATCACGTGCAAGGAATTCTCAGATGTCCTGGCATTAAGGGCACTCTACCAAAAACGAATCATTATTAATCGTAAAAAGAAATGGAATGGTAAATATATACTTAAAGTCATGTATAAACAGTCAGCAAACTAAATATAGTTATCTCAATTTGGTTAACAGAGCATGATTAAACTAACATAATTCAAATGTGTTTTTGTTACATATCAAAAAGAACTGAATTGATTTTGTTTGCATCCCACGTGATTTGTGGAAATATATGTACTCCACTGTGCGAAGTGTGAAATCTGATGAAGTATTAATCCAACTCGGGAACATTTCCATCATAAGGAGAAGTGGTGCACGCAATTTTTCTTTTCAACCTTCGGCAGAGCGATGATGGCATAAACTCAAAACAAAGAAACTGTTTTTTTTTTAAGTTACTTACTCAACATCCACTTTAGCGGGAATTCCGTGCCATGGTCCACATTAACGTATCGGAGTTTGAACGATTGCGTGAGCAATGTTTCAACGGCAGGATTTCGTTTTCATGCTATTGTGCCAAAGTAAATCTTTGGCTCAAAATTCATGCCTCTTCAATCAAAATTATACATTTATTTATTTTCCATCCATCCACACGTCCCCCCCCCCCATTCACGCTAACAGCCAACTCCTTGACACGAAAACCGCCAACTCCGCTAACCACCAAAACAATTGTATGGTGTAATGGGATAACAGAAACAATATTCGTGATATGTGAATGACCAATATTGTTATGCAAATGTGATAATATTTTGTGCATTGGCACAATAGGACCAAATTCACGGATTTAAAAATCGCAGTGCCGAAATCACAAAGTTTGAGGTAAGGCTGCAGAGGAGCGATGTCTGTAGCCAAGGAGCGTATTTCTACAGAGCCTGGTGTGGAATTTCACTCCTGTAGGAGCCTGTGCCAGCAAACCCATCCGTCATCCATCCGCATGGCCAGGCAAGGCAGCCTTCCAAAAAAAAAGTAAAGATTTGCCTTTGCCAAATCTTTATTAATTATTTTGTTATTACTTTTCCCAGTTTAATCCCAAATGTGCCATCGTTGACGTATCATGAGGCAAAGTATCTGTTTGGAAACCTCACAGGAAAGTGCATCATCCCGTGTGATAAATAATGGCATGCCACAAGAGCTGTCACAAAAAAAATATTACTGAGATCCCTTCGAGTGACTTTTTACATTCACAAAGTAGTGGATTCACTTTCACATACCTTGCCACAGAGAAATGTTTGTCACATGATAGCAAAGTGATATTTATTTCATTATCAGAACTGGACTTTCTCCAGTTTCAGCAGGAAATTATTATTTAATTTATTGTTTTTTTTACACGGTCATTTCTGACCACCCTGAGACCATCAACTCACTAAACTGTAAACGTCGTTTAATCAAGGGAGACTATTCAGATTTCAACCCAGTATCTCATTGCCTTGACACCCGAGGCACCTAGCCACATTTGTATCAACAATTCTAGTGTGCGATAGTGATTGCGGAGTGAGAAAGAAAATTTGACGTTCAGAGCTTGGCTACCAGTTTGATGAAGACACACCCTGCCCATAATAATCATCACCATCATTATGCCCACCAATATAATTTGCCCTTTTCAGTTTACCTCTGCATGTGCCAACTAAACTGCGTGTGGTTCCATACAAGCGCAATGCAGCCATGGCCTACATTTATAATCTGATAAAATAAATTATATCATGATGAGATATAGTGTCATTGACTATCTCATCATGATGTTCCCTAACCTATATAAAAATGGTGCAATGTTCGCCAAATTTAACCGCAGTGTTCAAATTTGTTGAGGTCTTTATGCGATTTTGTAAAAAATATTTTTAATGCCATTTTTATATTGTTGAAGCACAACACATTGCGTCATGAATACTTTGTCATTAAATATATGAACATTATAATCTTCACAGCCATGTCAGTTTTATTAAAATGCGGCAATTGCTAAAGATAAACATCGGTAAGACCTAGTTCAACAGTGACTGCCTACATTAGCTTCACTCAGATTGGACTCATATCGTTACAAGGATTTAGAGCTTGCTATGCATGAAGCAGCGACACATGGACAGCTGCTTGCTTCAATTACACGTGCCACGACCAACACACCCAAATAACAGCTGCGAATTCCGAAAATGCCCACAACTGGTGAAAGCATGCCACCTGCAAGGCCTTCAAAAACAATCCATAAGTCTGACAAAGACATGCATGGAAGAACCAAAAACCTAGGGAGGTGCAGCGTACAATCTCAAACGTGTCTCTGTCCTTTGTCACAGGACAAGGTCCGCTAGTGGCTGCTGTCCTCGCTTTAAAAAAACAAAAACTCTTGCAGCACAGGGAAGGCCCCGTTTGCTTTGCAGCTTCTCACTCCCGTACCGGGTTATCCCTCTACACACACGCGAACGGTTGTACTATGACACAAGCCAACGTATGGCGCGTGGCCGTGGTGGTCTTGTTCAAGTGGTTCTACTGCAGAGCACGCTACATGCCCTCTTCACTCGTGATACGATGTGCTGCCAAGAATAAAAAAACTAATTTACAAAAACCACAGTAGTGTGCAAAAAACTGAATGGGGGTTTCAGAAGTGAAGATTTAGACTTTTTTTTAATCACCCTCCCTGGGTAAAGTGAAATATAAAGAGAATGTACGTGAACATTATAATTTTTAAGTTGCTTTGTCAATCCACTGCTGGATGAAGGCGTCCCCACTTTGTTAGACGTAAGGTTTGTTTGACCATACTCCATCACATTAATCATCGTGGGTTGGTGAAGTGGGGGGAGGGGTGGGCTTAGGACTCCTTCAGATATCACTTGCCATTGATGTAAGCCATGGCTGGGAATCGAACTTAAGTCACTGGGTTCATAGCTTGCAGTTGCGCATAACCACTGCTCTGCTGCTCCCTGCCAAACAAATACAGCCAATCTGCAAAGTTGGTGTGAGCCGTGTGTTTCCACATATTAAAGTTTTTGACCGTAATTTTTTTTTATTTTATTTGCCCTAAAAATAAAACAAGGGAAATTTGGCAAGGAACATGTGTTTTCAGAAGAAAAAAAATATGTAAAGGTCTGCCTGTACAGCACTGATTGGATTAGAAATGTGGATTAGAAATGTGGGAAGAGAAAGACATGTTGACGGAGCTGTGCGAGAAGGCCTCTACAGATGAGTTTTATTTTGAATGACCCTTGATTTGGCACGAAATAAATAAATTATTATGCATTACTGTTTTTTAACTGGCAACATTGACCAATTTCTCACGATCTACTCCCATTATGTTATCAAGGCAGCCAATGCACGAACGTGAACCAAAATATTCCTCAGAACAAAGCGGGTTTGGATGATATACATTTTTAAAAAAAGAAGCAAACATTTTTCATCAGCTGCTTACCGCAAGGTGAAAATGAATTTTAATGATGATCGTGCAATTATTACAGGCATACGTGTTGTGGCAGCACAGCTTGTGTTTGGATGTGGTCAGCTGCTGTAGCACACGCTGCCTTGTGGCGGTGGCCCTTGAGGGGGCAACCGGGGGGGATTAAAGGGCGCGTGCACTCGCAAGGAGACTCGCATGCAGAACCACGGTGTCTGATTTCAACTCTTCAGCACTCGCCTTTTGAGACTCCACATTTGTCACGAGCGGCTGTTTGCTTGCCGCACAATGCCAACTGAGGCCGGCCTAACTGACAGATACTGCACCCCCCGTCCCTCGCCCCCTCGCTCCCGCCACCCCTTCACACTATCAGCACGTTCGTTCTACTTGTTCAATCTTGCTTAAAAATAAAATAAATAACACCTCTCTCCAGGGCTGGCAGAGTTAATGGCACAAGCTGACCTCTCCGCAGAGACCACATTTTCCTGGCCGCGAGCACTTTTTCACAAAATGCTGAAAAGGCAAATCATCTGCACTGGCGGCTTTTTTCATTTCACACTTTTCATAGGAAAGCGTTTGCTGATATTTCGAAGCAAAATATAAAAGGGGGAAGCTCTTTCCCAATGGCATGTTCGACCGTGTAAGAGGATACACTAGGTTTCATATAAAACATACATTTCCATGTTTTGTTTTTAATTAATCTCTTGTCGTTATTCTGCAAGCATACAAATTTGCCTTTAAACATGTCTATTAGACCGTTTGGCACAATTTCATCCTCACTGTGTCATAAGCGTCATGCCGTGAGATAAAGGTCCATTGGAAACTCTTGCAGAGCAGTGCATCCCCCTTGTTAGAGAACGGCCATTTGGAAGGAGATATCAGATAACTTCTTCTGAGAGCCGTTTAAGCAGGCCTCTTTAACCCACACTTTTTCATATACCCTGCTATGGCGAAATGTTTGTTGCGTCGCAATTAACAATATATTTTCTTTAATTCTCAGAGCTGGAATTTAGCCAAATCGATTTAAAAACCAAGTTGAACAAGGTGTGTGTTTGTATGCAGTCAATCATGATTGAAATGGGAACATCAACTCACTACGCTTGAGATTGTACCGTGTGATTACCCAGGAAAAGTTCACCGAGTCCCCAAGACTGTTTCAGAAGGATCCTGCCAAGTTTACATGACAAAGCGGTGATGGTGCTGTGTGCAATTCCAATTGAGTAATTTTCAAGTAAGATTTTAGTATTCAGATGTTTAGGCCAATACCAGTTCCGCTGTATTTTTTTTAGCTATGGGAAGAAACCAAAGAACCTGAAAGAAAATCACGCATGACAAGGGGCGAGCGTATCAACTCCACACAGTGCTCATGTTGGGAACCTGACCCAGGCTCTTCTTTCTGTATTACCTCTGTGCCACACAGCCGTCCCCAGAGATACTTGCTCAATCACAGATAGTTGCCTGGATTAGAACCCAGGTCTTAGCATTACTGACTGACTGCATTGATCTCTGGGCCATATCACAAACGCTTTAAAGTCACGTGTTAATTAATTTTACACCTCAGCAGGTGCCCTGGTGATATTCGATGTCAAGTGATGCTTACTGGTTGGTATTATAGGTTAAACTTTTTGCCACACGTACTCTTTAATACATAAAATATGAGGTGTAAATAATGCGATAACACATCAGACCATTAGTTTCATTTGTGTGCAAAACATACATTCCACAGATGCATCGTTGTATGTATGCTGAACTTCTTTCGCACCGTACATAGGCAACCGTGCTAATCGTTGATGAAAGTTCACTTTCAATGTCTACTTTGGAGCTGTTACTTTTACAGTATGTGGGCAAGTCTGTGACCATTTTGCACCTGCATATCTAGGTATGTACTTCCATGTATGTGTCCTTATGTACTATTGCGACTGGGCACGCTATGGCCACACCAACCTTATATTTGTTGTGCTGGTCTTTATATTAATTATGTAGTGATACTGCGTTTGAAGTGGCGCACAAACACTAATAACAAAAATAACAAACACAAAAATAACAAACACTCAACACAGCCATCGATAACCGTGCCATCTGTGCGTTATGGTTCGTGACCAAATTGCCCAAAACATCACCTATGATTTACTTTTCATTTTAAGGTCATACACAGGGTTATTGACAAATGTGTTCAGTATTTTATGGTTACGCACTAAGAACATGCATACTGTACTGTTGTCCATGAGGTCAAACAGGTAACGTATACGTACTACTTACAGCAGTGTATTTAACCACATACGTTTCTAAGTACGTTTTCAAAACATTTCAACATCCATCTTATTTACATTTTTTTCTCTCTCGAAAAGTCCACTGCACAACACGCAACAATCCTAAAAAGGCGCATTTTAAAAACATATTTTTTTTAAAAGATGTGTGCGCGGCTTCTTAGTGTGCACTAAGAAGTGCGCACTAAGAAGCCAAACTGTAAACGTCAACGTTATTTAAAGAGATAATTCCATGAAGGAACAATTGTAAAAGAATGTACCTTCTCTTCCACTCTGTCCAGTCTGGCTCCAATGGTATATTTGCTTCGATCTTTCCCCTTCTCTGTTTATAAACATATAAAAAAAATCCCATCACTTGGCCAAGAAGCCTCTTTAAGCATGCAACTTTAACCAAGTCCTTTTTAGCATCAGAATTATGCAGTTGTAAAAAAAAAAATATTTTAAAAAAGCAACGTTATACCAAAAATGTCTGGATATTCACACGTCTGTTTTGTTAATAGCCTTTGTCGGTAATAAAATATTGACTTGCCTGACAGAAACATGTTGGGTTTACCCAGTGAGTGATCCAGCCTGTGGGGGAAGGACGGAAGGGTGGTTTAGCAAAGAATTGAAAAAAAGCATTTACATTATACATATCATCACATAATAACACGGAGAAAGTGTAAGATTTAATTGAAAATATACAACATGTTTGTTGAATTTTAGTTAACAATGCTGTTTTCCTTTTAGCATTCACACCAGTTCGGTGAGGACTTTTTCGTGTGATACCACAAAGGCACGAATGTCAATGCATGGATGAAAAGCAGCTATGGAGTAGAATGCAATTAAATTAGACAAAAAAACATGGCCATTTGTTTGTGCAAGGCCCCATGCAACATAATTACTCAGCCTGAATCAATTCACCTCACCTGCACCCTCGTGATGCAATGCATTTTCACAATTCGGGATTGAGAATCTATTGAAGAAGTGACTTTTTATGGTTTTTTTTTTACAATTTGTGGTGATTGTAATGCCTCTAGTGGCTGCAGGGATCACATAACCTGAGTACATACGAAATACACCAATCTAAAATTACCAATTTGCACACGCACAGTTAGATCGGTGTATTAATTTCAATCTATTAATTGATTCGTTATGAAATGCCGAATAATAATGAATTAATGTTGGCTACTTGTGCAGGCAGTTCAATGTTAACTCAAACCAAAAGCTTTTAAGTAACGATAAATTCATCATTATTTGCCATAAACTTTTTTTTATTGCCATTTTTTTAATAGACGGGAATGGACGTGTAAAATAGTACGAGTTAAAACCAATAATTGTTTTATGAGTTAAATAGGATTATTTTATGCCGAATGTGACTACTCAGATGAAGGATTTGATTAAAGAGCTGGCACCCAACATTAGTAATCGCTGTTACAAGCGGGAGGCTCAAGGGAGTCATTCGAGAAGTATCACTGGGAAAAAAAAAACATGGAAAACGAAAACCTTGTTACAATTGTAAATGGTGCGTACAAATTAATTGAACCGAAATTGTGGATAAGTAGCTTAAACAAAATAAAGAGGAAAACAAGGCCTTTAATCAAAGCTCAAATGGCAATAAAAGATTTAAAAAAAAACTGAGACATTGAAAAAAAAATACTATTTGGAGGCTGGGTCATCGAAAAGTTTAATGGGAACTGAAACCCAGCAATCCAAATCAAAGCTTAGTTAAACCTAAAAGTGAACAGGTACTTGAACGTTTAACAAACAGGGGGCGGGGAGGAAAGGGAGTGTGTGCGTGCGAGGAGTTGAACTTGACCTGCGCTGCAGCTCTTTGATTCGCACCATCATATTGACATGTCCTTGCGAGTACTGCTCTATCACGTCCCTCACGTCGTAGGGCTTCTTGGCTTGCTGCAATATCAGAATCGGTATCTTTGTTTAAGACTGGAGGAGGAATCTGATGAGCTACGAAGCTCTTTGTCACAGATGTCAAGTGGGGGCGGGTCAGCAAGTTACAACAGCAAACAGTTACAACAACAAACAGTTACAACAACAAACAGTTACAACAAACAGTTACAACAACAAACAGTGCAATAACAAACAGTACAACAACAAACAGTACAACAACAAACAATAGGAGCACAAAATAGAGAAAAGGTAGGCAAGTCACGAAAAATAAGTTAAGTAATAAACATAAAGTACACAAGGCCAAATTGCAAAAGTACATAAATGCATGCCGATTTTTCGACACTAACTGCAAGCTTGGGAAAGGAAGAAAAACAAAAAACGGTCCCAGAAGACTACACCAAGGAAACACAGTCCTCTCAATAAAATAGCACATTCGGTACACGGGTGTAGCCACAATCGAAAGCACAGTATCATAAGCCCAAACACACAACACTCCCCAATCACCACGACAAAACAACACAACGAGAAACACTGGTAAAGGTGCAGCCCTGAAAGTGCTTGTCCATGCCGCTGATAGTACGTCTCCCCACTCGAGGGATCTCTCAGAGACAGAGAGAGAGTGAACCTTGGCCTGCTGTTCCACGTTGGCCAAACGTCTTGGAAGAGGTGCGAGTAGCCTCACTTTACCCCCAGCACACGTGACCCGTCTGTCGACTAACGGTGATGCACTTATATTCTTTGTTCTTTCGGTAAAGTCACGTTGAAGGGAAACAATAAAATAATAAAAAATATATAAAACAATTAAATTCTCACGACGTTTCGACTGTAACACAAACAGTCATCATCAGGTGTGAGAAAACCAACGGCAAGAAGCATTTGAAAGAAGTGGCGGTTTGTATTTATTTATTTTCAAACGTTGTTTGTATTTATTTATTTTTAAAAACGTTAGCACCACAGATAGCGATTTGACAGTTTGTTTAGAAGGACGAGTCCATCTATGTTCGGAAAAGAGGAGGGGGGGAGACGAAAATGTAATGTATACTGTCTGAAAGCCACCGTAAGCGTGAACAATCAATTAAGACCCGAAATGGTTTTTTATCAAATCCTTCCAATGATGCACTTATTTATACTGCTGCTATAAACAAAATGAGGTAGGTGGGTTCAAGAAACCCGCCCATTGTTTTAACTGCCGTGCCGGGAGATCAGACCTGCGAACCTCTGGCATGCGCGTCAAGTTGTGCAAACATTTACACGGTGCATTCCAATGATGAACAAATTAACCAGTCATGTTTTAGCACTCAATACTGAGATATTCTGCAGTATAGTCGCTTGGTTACTGGAGGGCATAGCCCATATGCAAAGTGAAGGTGAATTTAAAGGCGTGAAACCAGAATTTGTCATTAGTTTATTGGCATGATTCACTTTTCTTATGAGCATTACAGATTTTGCTCATTGGGTACCAATGAGAAAATCACCAATATATGTTCCTGATCACAGCGCATCTCAGAACCTAAGCAGATTTGAGTCTCTATAGTGCTTGGATGTGTGACCATTATGCACAACGACTTTAAATAGGCTTCAAAGACTATATGCTGGGCAGCAGAGGACAGTGCACAAACATATCGTTGTACTGTACTTAAAGCTTTCGTGACTGCAGGAATTCATATTTTTGGGTCTTTCGGTAAAGTCACGTAGATAGGTTCAAAGAAAATAATAATAAAAATAACAGAAAATTACGACGTTTCGATCGCAATGCAAGCGGTCGTCTTCAGGAAAATAAAATGTTGTAGTGGTCTGTGTATTTTTTTTTATTATTTTCTTTGAACCTACCTACGTGACTACCGAAAGACCCAAGAATATGTTGTACTGTACTTCCGTGCTTCTTGTATTCAACAACTCACACCGATCAGCGTGGTGAAGTATGGTCAAATGTCTCCCAAGAGGTAAGTGGGGTGCAGGCCATCATCCAGCAGTGGATTGACAAAAATGTAAACTCTTTATAATACGTAACACATGCACTCCGAATAGTGAGACAATGCATTTCCTATGCATTACATGGATGCATTTTAATATGCCCAGCACAGTGGGAATACAAGCACTTGTGTACTTTCCTAGAATTGACCCCATAGAGTTATTACATGCTCTTACAGAATTCATGTCTTATCTTATTTATACAGCCACAATGCTCACGACCCTGATGTGTGTCCACACGCTAACACACGTGCGCAAACAGTTTTTTTCAGTTTGAAATAAAAAAAAATAATGCTTTCCTATAAAAAATGGAATAAAAATGTGAGCGTTATGCACGTTAATCATACGTTGTTTTAAGTATGTAAATACTATTAATACACGCATTGATTTTTTTTGTGGAATAATTCACCCCTTTCTTGATAGCTGTCATAATTCGGGATCGCGATTTGATTTGAGATATGAAAAATAATTTTATTGGGCGAATAGTAGCATCTCTAGTGGCTGCAGAGATGATGTGAAACCATAAACATGTACAAATACAATTTTATAACTCATCATTCAATGCACGCAATCTATATTCGGTGTACATGCGAGCGTAGCGACTCTTTAGTGAGATGCTGGCGATGAGTAGAGCGGTGATGGTGTGGATGATATGTGTAGGTTTGAAGCGAGACGCAGGGGTGGACTCTTTACAACAGGGGAGAAATCGCAATCGACCATCTGGATTTTTGTGGGATATTTTTTTTGTTTGTTTGTTTAAGGTTTACACGGTTAAAACCCATCCAAGTCCGTATACAAAGCCAGAAGTTTTACACTATCTAATGATTTTACGTTCTAAATGTGTAACCCTATTCTCCAGATTACGCGCCCCCCCCCCGTCCCTGTATTTGATTGCAAAAGTTGGCAGAAGCGTCTTATAATCCGGTAGCTGTTTGTGTGTGAACAGATTTGTACGAATGTTGGGTTGCATCTTACTTCCCAGAGCATCTTATAATCCAGAGAATGCAGCATAACGTTTATTTCATCATTGGGAATTGTGGAATCACAGATAGACATGGGATTTGTTTTCAAATGTGTATATGTTTTTGTGCTTAACTCACCTGAAATTTACTCCTTGCTACAAAATACTGCATTCTTCGAATAACCCTTATGGCAATCTTGTGGGATTCTGTCAACCTAAAAAAAAAACAATGCGTATTGTTAGAAAACAATAACCCAAAGAAAAATAAACGGAGTTTTAAACGCTCACGAATAAACAAAGGGGCTGCCACCTGAAGTCCTTCACGTAAATCTGGAAACCAATAAGACAATGAGAAATATAAATACAAAGCATAAGGTTCTATTCCTTACATTGTCTACAGACGCCATCAGCTGTACGAATGTTAAAACTCACTCAACGAACTGGAAACGTAATCAGGGTAGACAAAAGTTGTACTCATCTTCTTTGGTTCTTTCGGCAAAGTCACGTAGAATGAGAATAAAATAATAAATTGATCAAATAAAATAACACAATAAAATTCTCACGACGTTTCGGCCACAACACAAGCGGCCTTCATCAGGTGAAGGGACGAGACTGTCTGGAGGACAGCGCTGGAGCGAACACAGCCAAGCTCAGACCGCGACCTTTAAGCTGTGTGAGAAGAAACAGAGCGCCTTGACAAAGGAATTAGTTGTACTGTGTATACCAACTTACCGCACAGCAGACGGCTACAGCAGTGGAACCCACGGAGTACCCATTTGCACCTATCAAACGATACCAAGAGTGTTTGACTAACCAGAAAACATCTAAACACACTGCACTCTAAATGTACTTTTATTTTTCGATTTAAAGCTTTCGTGACTGCAATGATTCATCTTCTTTGGTTCTTTCGGTAAAGTCACGTAGAATGAGAATAAAATAATAAATTGATCAAATAAAATAACACAATAATATTCTCACGACGTTTCGGCCACAACACAAGCGGCCTTCATCAGGTGAAGGGACGAGACTGTCTGGTAGGACAGCGCTGGAGTGAAAGAGCCACGTTCAGAGCACGGCCTTTAAGCTGTGTGAGAGGAACAAAGCGCCCTCAACTTTAGCACTAAAGTTGAGGGCGCTTTGTTCCGCTTGTGTTGTGGCCGATACGTCGTGAGAATATTATTGTGTTATTTTATTTTATCAATTTATTATTTTATTCTCATTCTAAATGTACTGTTTCTTCTCACCAAAACGCATCGAATGTGCCCAATCTCATCAAATTTCAGAAGGTAACTCGGCCGGTTAGCGCTTGGATGGGCGACCGCCATGCATAACAGGTATTACAGGCTAAGTTATGTGCTGCGCATCAGAAGGCAGTGCTGGAGCAAAATCTGTTGTTGTGCTGTACTTCTATGCAACCAAGTCTATGCTTCACGCCTTCGCTGACTGCCACTGACCAGGGTGTTCAAATAGTCTCCACGACCACACAGCATGGGGGAGGCCATCATCCAGCAGCGCATTGAAAACTGCTCCCCATGTACACGTGCCAGCAAACGAATGGTGCAAAAACAAAAACACACTGCATTTTCTAAAATAAATTTGGTTCGATGCCGTATAGTAAAAAAAAAATCAAAATGATTTACAGTTATTTATCAATCCCAGGTTGGATCAACGCTTCCCCAAGATTTAACGGTTATGGGAGCTATTTCGTCCATACTTCAACTCTGCTGGTCTCCACAGGCTGGTGTAGGATATCACTCGCTACTGTTGTTAGTCATGGACGGGAATCACATTCAGGCTGTAACCCAAAAAAACACAATGACCTTTATCTTCAATGTTTTATGCAGGGATTTTTTTGACTATACACCTCTAGTCCGTACACTGTATAGTAATCGCAAGTGTCAAGATGCAGCAATACAAGTGCTTCAGTGCATAGAAAGGTTATTTTTGCTGTCCAAAATAGGATAGCAACAAAGGAGAGCAATAAGTTTCGCCCAACCTCTGTCGACGTTTCCAATTACTTCGTCGCCACCAGGTCTATTCACTCAGCAATTTCACTTACAGCTTATCAGTCTGCCGCCTGATATCCATCTCTGGCTATGTATCTCTTCGTAACTCATACCCAGCCTCAGCTTAAACCCTGAGAGGATGGGGGGGGGGGTGCATTGGAGGCTGATGTTGGGAGTGGAATGGTTTGCTCTGCAGCTTTGGAGGATTTATTATATATTTTTTTATCGCGACCACTTGTACCCTCAAAGAGTTGAAAGTTTTTTCTAAAGCAAAAAGATAGTAAATAACAATACTATGTCTACGAGGAATATTGAAGGAGGTGACTTTCATAAAGCTAACGGTGTTCTTTATTTAAAACATATTTGAATGCATTCCTGTGTCTGACAGTGAATGTGGTAATGGATAAAAATGAAGTTATAGATTAGAACCGCGCAATGAATCACAAGCGTCGCTGAATGTCATCCCAGACGAGCGCAGGATGCTCGCGAGCACGAGAAGAGCCCACGTCAAACGCGACGAGATGAGCTCACGGAGAGAGAGAGAGATTCCCAGCGTTCGTTGTCTTACAAGCAAAACCCCTCTGCTCGCAAACCATACGCACGCTGCGGCACAAGCAGCCCGAGCGGCGGACGTCTCTGTCTCGTGTCCCGCGCTGTGGCACGGGAAAGGTTCAGACGCAAAACGGTGGGTCCTGGTGGCTGAGAGCAACGGCTTGGATTCCAGACAAAGCACATCAGGGTCCCCTTTGAAAAGAGCTCCTGTCTTAAGCGATGCTGTAATCAAAGGCAAAAGCGGCACGCTGACATATACTCAACGTTTTTAGCTTTCTTTCTTCTCTGACATAGGGCCTAATCTTAATCTGCATCAGGCGTCCCTTTAACACGGGGTGGCTCGCTTGCTATGAGACGCTCAGGCGGAAAGAGTGCATGTTTACTGCATTGCTTTCCTGTTTCAACACGAAGAAATAATTTTAAGAAATATGTTATTCGCTTATCACGTAACATATTTGTTAAAGATCCAAAATACGCAGCTGTACGAATTACACATAAATTGGGTAGAATGGTGGTGCAGGAGTTTGCACACTGCGCTATGAACATAGCAATGTGAGTTTGATCCCTGGCCAAAGTTAACATCAGTTATTGATATCTGAACTGGTTTTATGTCTCCATCTTCACACCGATCTGCGCTGATCACTGTGGACTGACACAGAGTTGTACAATAATTATAATTATTGTGATACAAACATACAAGAAACGTAAACGGAGACCCGGGCCTTCAGAAATATCCATTGGGCCAAATGGTATGTGGTGCTCACTGCTGGATGCTGATATGACAGGGAGGAGGTGAACACATATCTTATGTGATAAGGGATAATCTGGACAACTTAGTTACACCACAGCGCAGTTCATAGCGATAATACAAAGACACCGATTGTATATTTGCCCACCACCGAAATATAAAGATGTAGTCATTTATTTTACTTCAGTAACGCAAGTGTAATCACGACGAAGACGACTTAATAAAGTGTTAAATTACATAACACTAGGTGTTAATTGCACCTTCAGTGTGTGCAGTACATTACAACAAACATAGTGCAGCTATAACAAAATCATTGCAAAACTTTGCAGCTTCCCGTCACTCTGTGCAATGAAAGTTATTCATACAAGTATGAGCACTTACTACGCAATGCAACTCAGGTCCTTCGTGGGCATTTTCTCAGAAAGCTTATCACAAGTAAAAAGTCACGTGCAGAAATTCCCTTATTTTCTCAGAAAATAAAATGTACACGAAGAGATAAACATCTAATAAAAAGTAATCTCGCATAAAACCCACATACAGTTGTATGTTGTAAACACCACATTCCTGTGGCACAGCCCTGCTATGGAATAAAGTAAAAACAAGTATATTCACAAACAATGTATTGAAGGTCATATTGTTGACGGGTTTGCGCGGAGTGCGGCAGCCTCTCCTTTCCACGGAATCCATGTCTGATATAAGAATGTCCTTTTGTCTTGAGGCACGTCAGAGCATAACCAGCCAAATCGTCGCGAGTGAATGGTTTTCTCTGCCAAGTTACCCACGGGAGGACCAAATCTCCTCAATGCCAAGTCACCCACACAGTCAGCTGTTCCACTTCGCTTACCCTTTTCTTGCCCACGATGGTCTGACAATTGCAAAATGTAGCAGGGATAATTGGTTTATTTTAACATGGCTATAATAAATGCAGCGCTATATTTTGTCAACGGACTACTACAATGTAACAAAAAGGTGGAGCGTATTAGCAAAGTTTAACACGTAGGCTTTTGCGAGCAATATCCATAATAGAGTTTTTTTAGGTTGGATCGCATAAATATAATTGTCACTTTCGCCTGATAATGCTTATTGTAATTACTGGCGAAACGTCGTACTTGAATTGTAAATTCTGTGGGTTTACTTTGCAAACCACCAGTGTGCTGTACGAGTCACGAATTGGCATGTTTTGTTTACGTGACAAACCTTACGAATTGGCTGTGTCCGGTAGTGATGGATTTAACAACGCTTTTATAAATTTTGATTTAAAGCTTTCGTGACTGCAGTAATTCAAATTCTTAGTTCTTTCGGTAAAGTCACGTTGAAGGGAAACAACAAAATAATAAAATATATAAAACAATACAAATTCTCACGACGTTTCGACCATAACACAAACGGTCGTCTTCAGGTGTGAAGACGACTGTATATTTTATTATTTTGTTGTTTCCCTTCAACGTGACTTTACCGAAAGAACTAAGAATAACGCTTTTATATTTACGCGATCTAACCCAAAAAAACCTCTATTTTGGACAAAAAAAGTACTTTTCCTAGTTCTGCCATATAGATTATTGGGGCAAGTCTTCCTAGAAGGGCATACATTATAAATACCAGCACAAGCACACAGGGCGGTGGTATGGTCATAACCACCATGCCCCAGCTCAGCCAACTTTGTCTCCCCAGTGTTGGTGTCCACACACCATAAAAGTGATGTATTTTATGCTGATTTGACCTGGCGGAGGCCCAGGCCAGTTTTAGATTCCAAATGCCATTGGCAGGAAATTAACTTGCGCAACCACGACAGCAGCGCATTATCTGATCACTGTGGCACCGCTCCCCGACAAAACCCCGAATGCACACGCGTCCCGTATAGTCACTGCAAATGTCTGATGTCAACAAAACATTTCTTTGCGTATTAACT